AAGAAGAAAAGTTCATAACAGTGAATTATACAAAACAAATAAAAATTAATTTTAATGGTTTATTTGGATGAATGGAATAAAACAATAAATAAACAAAAGATACAAGATAATAGAATATGCCATGTATTCTATTTTTTTAATTGTGGTGTTTTTTTAACGAACAATATTGAGTTTTTTTTACCTTAAAAACATTATATGTGTAATGTTAGAGTCATGAAAAAAAGAAAAAAAAAATTAGGCCTCCCATTTTCCTTGAACCGGTAATTTATATTAAATGTGGGTTTTTGGTTGTTTAATGCAAATTACATAAAAACAAATTCATTTAATTTTAAAGGAAAAAACAATATGTCATATTGAATAATATAAACTTTCTACACGTACTCTAGGCCTATTGATTTTCTACGAAAATATATTTCATTGTTTAATTATATGAAAACTAAAATAACAAACATCTTCAAATTCGTATTATATAATATTAGAAAACTAAAGCATTACTCAATTGGGCCACTTAATTACACTTATGAAAGTGAATTTAGCTTTTCTTTTTAAATTTTTTTATATACTATAAATAATAACGGATATTTAACATTAAAAAGAAAATAAAAGAAATAAAAATGATAAAGAAAACTGTTAGTAAAAAAAGGGTAAAAAAAAACTGAAATAAAAATTGTTATTTAACAAAAAGTAATAAGGTGAAATAAAAGAGAAAAAAAAATGGACATTTAAAATAAAAAATATTAAGGAAAACTGAAAAAAAAAATGAAAAAAAAACACTATTTTGGTAAATATTTTTGAAAGTACACTAAAATGGTAAATACTTTTTCCAATCACTCTATTATTGTCAAAAACTCTTAAAAATTAAGATAATAACAGACTAACTAGAATTTGATACAAATAACTATATACAAGGAAAGTATCGGAGAAATCTAAGGCTATTTCTCCCCTTAATTTTCAAACGGTCTGTAATCATATTATCAGGAGCAGTCGATAGTTGATACCTATCATGAAGGATTTAAAGAAAGTTTTCCTATCACAATAAGGAAACCTGTACAACAAATATATATATATATATACGTACGTTTTGCTTCTTGCTCATCGGAATGCTTAATTAACAATTCCTGATTGTTACCATACGTGTAATTAGCCATGGCTGTGCCTTCCGATTCTAGTAAGAAGATAAAATTCCATTATAGTTACGGTGGCACGTTCAAGGTGTGTCCCAATGATGGCAAAATCAAATACATTAGGGGCACAAACAAGATCATGACTGTAGATAAGAGTATCACTTACACAGAACTAATTGTGAAGTGGTGGGATATATGTGGACCTTCTATGAACCTGAGGTGCAAGTTGCCTATGGACGATTTGTACTCATTAGTGAAAGTTACATCAGATGAAGATCTTAATTATGTTATGGAAGAATATGATCGGGTTGGTAAAAACATGAAGATCAGAGCCATTCTCGACCCTCTACCACCGCCGATACCTGAAGTTTTTGAGGATTACTTCCGCAATTATAAGCTGGCAGGAGTGAAGTTCTTCGGTTACACACCACCTCATTTTTATCATGTAGACCAAGCCATGGCTGGACATTGATGGTTTCTTGAGCCGAAAGGCAGAAGAATGTTCGTTTTATTGATTTTAGTAGTTTTTTTATTGATTGAAGATGATGTAATTGACGAAGGCTAAGGTTGAACTAGTTGTAGTGGTGCAAGCATAAATCCATTATTCGTTTTATTCGTTTTTATATAAATCCAATATCCATTAAGGTGCATGAGTTATCTCCTCGTTATTACGCAAAAATTACACTTTCATATTATTCGTCACCTTAATGTTAGTTTTGTATGTTGGAACCTTTTGTATCTTCAAAAAGAGCAACAACATTAATATGAATATGCTGTAACTATAAGCTATTATTTGTTCCTTTAATGCTTTCGGTTTTTTTGTTGTATACGAGATGGGTAAAGAAAACAAAATGTATATTTGTTTGTGTTTGTGGATGAAGTTAGGTTATGTTAGGGTTTATATACTAACTACTACATATATTAGACTTTTTTTTTTATTTAAAACAACATAGCTTAGTTTTTTTTTATCATTGATTTATCTTGTCTTTAGGTCACCAGAATCAACATTGATGATGCAAGACAATTTCACAAATTTGGTCTGTGTGAAACGAATGATTTTATCGGGTTCAAGAATACCAATTCAAGTGCAAGGAAAATTTCCTTGACATTTCCGGGTTATAGTACATTTAAAGAAGAGGTTTTCAATCGACTTTAGCTAGATTGGTGTGAATGTGTGATTTTGATTATCATATTTTCACGAATAAAAAAGAATTTTGTTGATGTTTTGAACAGCAAATGTATTAGAGAGTTTTTCATTAACTTTCACATGGTATCAAGCCTATATATATATATATATATATATATATATATATATATATATATATATATATATATATATATATATATATATATGTATCATTTGTAACTCTCGTGTATCTACAACAGAGAGTTTTTCATTAACTTTCACATGGTATCAAGCTTTGTAACTCCCAACCTTCTTTTTCCCTCCCTCTAAAACCATCACTCTCTTCTTCTTCCTCTCCCACCCATCAACTTTCCTCACCCTTTAGCTTCCTCATCAAGTCTAACTTCGATGCTTCCTCTCTCTCTATGAACACCATCTTGCATCTCATCACCATTCGCCTTTCTTCATCCAATTACCTTCTATGGAAGAATCAAATGATCCCTCTTTTACAATACCAGCAACTTCTTGGTCATGTTGATGGCTCCGTTTCGTCCCCACCGCCCTCCATTTTGGTTGATAACAAGCCGACCTTGAATCCGGAATTGGCAGAGTGGGTCTCAACCGATCAAAGGGTTGTTATTCTTCTTCAAGCTTCTCTCAAAGAAGAAGCTTTTTCTGAGATTGTGGGCCTCTCAACAGCTCATGACATTTGGGTAGCCCTTGAAGCCACCTACGACAACTCCTCCTTAGAGTGTGCCCAAAATCTCCGTGATCAACTACGTCATCTTACCAAGGTTTCCTCCACCGTTTCAGAATTTGGCCGAAAATTCAAGTCTGTTTGTGATCAACTTGCCGCCATTGGTCAAGGGGTGGAGGAAACTGACAAAACCCATTAGTTTCTTTGCGGTCTCGGTGCCTCGTTTGAGAAATTTTCCACCGCCATCCGTGCTTCCGGGACTGTTTTTGGGTTTCACGACTTGTTGGCTAGGGCCAAGGGTCATGAAATTTTTCTCAAATCTATTCACGGCGACACCACTCCCTCGGTTTCTTTTTCTGCCGGCGCTACTCCCTCCTCGGGTTCGAATGGTGGTCGGGGTCGGGGTGGTCGCTCGTGTTGTGGTGGTCGCGGTCGTGGATGTCGGCCGCCTCATTGTCAACTTTGTCGCCAAAATGGCCACTACGCGAACTAGTGCCCTCAAATTCACTCTTTTGTGTCCCCTTCACCCATGCGTGATGTTGATCTCGCCAAAGCTTTTTTAGCCAAGTGCCAAGTTACTCCTTCCGGCCCTGATTGGTTTGTTGATTCCGGCGCCTCCGATCACATGGTGTCTTCCACCGGATCAGTGTCTAATGTCGAGCCGTATGGTGGTGACTCTTCGGTGCAATTTGGAAATGGTAATACACTCAGAATCTCTTCTATTGGTTCTTCCAAAATTGCTAATGGTATTTACTTGCGGGATGTTTTGGTGGTTCCCCGCCTCACCAAAAATTTATTATCCATTAGTAAACTAACACGTGATAATCCTGTGGATGTTCTTTTCTCTGCTTCATCATTTTTTATTCAGGATCGAACAACGAAGCAGGTCCTAGCACAAGCAAAATGTGATCGTGGGCTTTATGTTCTAGCCACTTCTCCCAAAGCTTATGCGTTTTTTGCCGGATCCAAGCCGCATGCCTCTTTTGAACTTTGGCACTCCAGATTGGGACATGTGTCTTTTGACACTATTTCTATGTTGAATAAACTTGGACTTTTATCTGTTTCTAGTGTGTTGCCAAAACCCAATATTTGCTCTCCTTGTGAACTTGCTAAGTCTCATCGCTTGCCATTTTCTAATAATAATAAACGTGCTTTACATATATTGGATTTGGTGCATTGTGATTTATGGAGGCCGTCACCCGTTTCGTCGGTTAATTCATATCGCTACTACATCTCTTTTGTGGACGGTTATTTGCGCTTTACATGGTTGTATCCACTCAAGGCTAAATCAGAATTTTATGATGTTTTGGTCTCATTTCTCAATTTTGTGGAAAATCAATTTTCCACCAAGCTTAAAGTTTTTCAAAGTGACGGGGGTACGGAATTTTTAAACTATCGTGTGAAGGTGCATGAACATCTTATTAGAAAACATAATCATTCAAATGATTTTGCAAATTAATGTGGATGAATATGTAGTTAATGAAGAAACACATGACAAATTCGATTAGATAAAAATGAAAGGAGAAGCCAAAGAAAAATATAGTGATGTACGATTACAACTACCACTACAAGGATCTAACCCTTTGTAGATGACACCAATCCAGACGACATTTGTCATCGGTAAAAGTCGATCTTTAGATACGACATGTCGTCCGGACAGAGTTTTCAAACATTGACCATATGTCGTTGACCAGAAAAGCTATATAGAAGACAAGTCGTCTACGTAGGCTTGGCGGGAAGGGGTAAACTATTGGCGGTATATCGAATTTTTATACAGACGACATGTCATCGGGAGGAGGAATTAAAAAAATATTTTCGATTTATTTTAATTCTTTGTCGCAGAAAAGCAATACGATGCCGTTTTGGTCAGCCTAGGCAGACGACATGTCGTCAGTTATAGGGTGCTTAAAAATTAATTTCGATTTACTTTTTATCCGTCTTGTAGAAATGGAATACGACGTTGTTTTGATCAAGCTATCCAGACGACATGCCGTCTGGAAAAGGTAGGACCGCGATCCGCGTGAAAACCCTTTTTATTTTATTTTATTTTTTAATGACAGAGAGTCTGTATTTTATTGGACTTGGCGAGAATGAAGCTGAACGACCCCGTTTTCGTTTACCTATAGAGACGATATGTCATCTCTATATGGTTTTGTTGCAACAAAAACGATTTCAGTCTTCATTTTCCAGTCGACTACCCCTTCTGTTTTCCTCTCAAGCTTCGGCGATCCCAGCATTCTACTTCATCGGCCAGCTAAAAGGTAAGGTTTTGGTCCTTGATTTCTTCTTAATTAGTAAGAGCTTGAGTTTTTATTCCGATTTTGGGGGATTTGTTTCCGGTTTTGGAGCCCTAAAACACTATCGCCGGCCGGACAAGAACGGTGAACACCGCCATAGAAAACGATTTCCGGTGATATACCTATCTTCACCACCGATTTTAAGGTTGGTTTTCTGATTTTTTCCCCGCTTAAGTAAATGTGAATGCAGTGCAGTTCATTTTTTTTGTTCCTTCAATACACCATGATATATATACCTTCTTAGATTTTTTTTTGGTTAATTGCTTATATATATATATATATATTATATATATATATATATATATATATATATATATATATATATATGGTTAAGTTCAAATAAGAACAATATTTAATGTGATAACACTACTTTATGTTACTATTCTACTATGAATTTTGTATATACAACGATATGACATTATTCATCAACAAATATACGAACAATCAAACATTAATATGCATATTAAAATTTTGTATGTACAACTTTATGACATTATTCATCACCGAATATATGAACAATCACATATTTAACGTTCACATTAGAATTTACTAAATTACTACACATATATATCAATTTTATAGTAAAATATCAATATAAAATTGAATATATTCATATTATAATTACTACAATACTATACATATTAAATTCATAGTAGAATAGTAACATAAAGTAGTGTTCTCACGTTCTCACATTAAATAGTGTTCTCATTTGAACTGAACCATATATATATATATATATATATATATATATATATATATAATATATATATATATATATATATATATATCAACTTACTAAATTACTACACATATATATATCAATTTTATAGTAGAATATCAATATAAAATTGAATATATTCATATTATAATTACTACAATACTATACATATTAAATTCATAGTAGAATAGTAACATAAAGTAGTGTTCTCACGTTCTCACATTAAATAGTGTTTTCATTTGAACTTAACCATATATATATATATATATATATATATATATATATATATATATATATATATATATATATATATATATATATATATATATGCATTGTGTACATGTATGACCAGCGTGTAATACTTGTCAATCAGGTAACTTTTTCTTTGATGATTTAATCCTTATTCCTCTCTATTTATAGTCTTGTTAATTTGTTCTTTTGTCTATGATATGCATTGATCCATTTTACTATATTTTGTTTGAAGAAAAGCTGGTTTATTTAGCTGATAGGTATTTATGGTTTTGTTTTCAGCACTCATGCTATCATAATTTGTCTCCTGTAGAGCTTACAAGGGTCCATGAGTACAACTTTGATCATCCTGGCAAGTTTTGTTACTTTAACTTGCTATTTTCTTGATATTTTTTTTTTGTTTCTAATCAGGTTTTGTTTTCTTGTTTCTTATTGTACTTTTCCAGATGCTTTTGATAATGAGAAGTTACTCTCAGTTGTGGAGATGTTAAAGCAGTGGAAAGCAGTGGATATTCCAAAATATGACTTCAGAAGTTACAAGAACAACATCTCTCGAAGGGTTAGTTAGTTCTTTTAACATACACTGTAACGTCCCAAAGTTCAAGACCAAAAATTTCTTTTAAAAACATTACTAAATCATAGTGTAAAGTTATTCAAACATACAAAAAGGGTTTATATGACAAATCATAGTTTCATTTCCAAATTGCTTGTTTAATTATCAGAGTAAGACATCCCAGGTTAACTTATCATGGTGTGTGCACTGCAACCCTCCGAGCTCCTTTTCTGAAAACCGGATACCTGAAACCAAAACTGAAAACCGTAAGCACGAAGCTTAGTGAGTTCCCCAGATACCACATACCATACAACCAATTGATCCAAACATGCCATACTTAGCCAAGAGCCATACATAATCAACATACCATAATCAAGTAAGGTACTATGTGCCAAACGTAGTATTGCTAAGGTGTTATGTGCCAAACATAGTCCGATGGTTGTGCCACGGGCCGCATGTTGTCTTCCTGGTCCAGCATGGGGCCATTCCCTGGGTCTTACAGACAGGTGCCAAGGGCCACCCCCTGGTCTTTCATGCAAGTATCACAAAGACAACTATACATACTACTCTACTAGGCTAATCAGCATATAGTGTGCCAGGAGCTACCTCCTAGTCTTTCATACACAATGGCATACAGTGCGCCAGGAGCCACCTCTTGGTCTTTCATACATATTGCCTAGGGCTAACCCCCGGGTCTTCCTATCATACATAATAACATATTGTGTGCCAGGAGCTGCCTCCTGGTCTTTCATGCATACTGCCTAGGGCTAATCCCTCGGTCTTCCTAGCGTACATAAACTAGATGGGCCGGCATTGATGTCTTAGACCCATAAAAACAGTAAGGAGACTCACCTCGCACTACTGAACTTTGTTGATAAATCTCTGGCTGTTGCTCGACCACTTTCTGAGCCGCTGCTCCCCTAGCTCTCCGAGCTACTAATACCAATAAAACACTTAGTTCCAAACTGAACTCTAGAAGTCAAACCAAGACAACTATGGTCAAAGTAAAAGTCCTGGTCAACCTTCCAGTTGTGTAGCACCTGGTTCCTGGTACGTAAAATTTATCTAAGTATTTGTCATTTTTTAGCCTTGGACTCGGCGAGTTGGAGGTCCGACTCGCTGAATAGAGACGAGATCCGGAACACGTTTAAATTGGCGACTTGGCGAGTCCATAACCTGGACTCGTCGAGTCCCTGCTGTATGATGAAACCCTAATTTCAAGGGTTTGCCCCCTATTTAAGCTAGCTTGTGCGGCCCAAGCTCGCCCCCTTTCACCCTCAGAGCACCCTATATCAAACCCTAACTCGTTTCTTGTGAAATTGAAGTGTTTAGAGTGATTCCTTGAAGATATTTGGAGAAGGTGAGTGGATCAAGAAGAGAAGAAGGACACTAAATATCTTGGTGCTATTTCAAAGTTCTTTGAGGTATATCTCTACTCCATTCTGTTTGTATGCTTCAAACCCTATTAGAGCACCTCTTGAGCTCTTCTTGAACCTTTTCCAAGCTTGTGCATGAAGTAGAAGTCGTAATAGGTTGGTTATCCACTAGATTTAGTCATGTTTGAGCTCCAGAAGCTCAGATCTATAACCTTTATGGGAGTAAATTGCATGAAAGCCCTAGATCTACCCCTTTTGGTGCATTTTGAGCCCTAAAACCTTCATTGGTGCATTTCTACATGTAATGTTGGAAACTTTAAGTGTAATCCATGCCCTAGAAACCCAGATCTGTGAATGGAATGAGCTGGATTCAAGAAAAATCGAGTGTATAGTAATTGCATGTGGCCGACTCGGCGAGTCGAGTCGCGAGTCCCTGAGCTTTTCCCCTTTTTCGTGCTTGCAGAGTGGAAGTGGTGAGTCTGGGGTTAGGATTCAGCGAGTCAGAAGCTAGACTCACTCGTGAAGTAACTCGGCGAGTAAGTGCCATGACTTGGCGAGTTCAAGGCAATCTTCTTATCTCAAGAACAACTCGGCGAGTCGTTCATACAACTCGGCGAGTCATAGCTTAGAGTGTTCTTCGGATGAAGATGAACTCGACGAGTTGATCATACAACTCGGCGAGTAGGATGAAGGACTATTAGCCTATAGTTTAGAAGGAGAACTCGTCGAGTCAATGCTTAACTCGACGAGTAGAGGCGGGTTTATGGTCAGATAAAGGGATAGGGACTCGGCGAGTTGATAAGTCAACTCGACAAGTCGGGCCAACTGACAGTTGACTTTGACTTGACTCTTGATTGGTAAAGGGTAAATGGTCATTTTACCCTAAAGTCGGTTAGCAGTATTTGACTAAGGTTTTGTGGGAATTATAGTCGGAGGATTACCGGAGCGGCAGCAGCAGCAGACAATCAGTTCCCACACAGATCATCAGCTATTTTAAGGTGAGTTACCTTCTAGTAAGGGTGGGTCTAAGGCCACAATGCCGGCCCACCAACAGGGGTAGTTGGTAGATAATTGTCTTTGTGATAATTATCTTGGTATGTTTACATTTGTGTGATATACTAATGAGATATGCTTATGTGATATGCTTATGAGAAGTGTTGATATGATATGCTTATGTGATACTTGTATATTATGGGTTAGCAGCTAAGTGTGGGCGAGGCCCGTATCTCTTTGAGAGTGGAGTGTGGGCGAGGCTGGTATCTCCAAGATAGAGGAGTGTGGGCGAGGCCCGTATCTCCCAGTTAGCGGAGTGTGGGTGAGGCCCGTATCTCTTAGCTGTTCATTGTATGTTGTATGGTATGAGGTATTATGGGGGAAATCACTAAGATTCATGCTTACAGTTTTCAGTTTTGGTTTCAGGTACCTCTTCTTCGAAGGGGAAGGAGCTGGTGCGGTAGCAGTACATCACACACATGCTTATATTCCGCATTATGATATCACCTGGGGATTGTACTCTGACACTTTTATGTTTTATAAAAATGTTTTCCAAACATGCAATAACTTTTGTGAAATGATATGATCGTTGAACGTTTTATTCCTAATGATTTCCTAAGCGCACGTTTTAAAATGAAATTTTTGGCTCGTATTTTTGAGACGTTACAAGTTGGTATCAGAGCCCTGGTTTGAGGGATTCGGACACACCTTCGGGGGTGACTGAACTCAAATCGAGGGATTAAAAGATATTAAAGAAGAAAATATTTTCAAAAAGTTAAGTAAAGAGTTTTAAGAAGGAACGCAGTGTGTGATGTGCGCGACTGGCCGAGCTCAAGTAAGTATTCCCCAAAGTACCCATACGAGCTTACGTTATGTTTATCAGTTTCAGTAGAACAACATGCTAGAATAGGACTAAGGATCTAGGAGTGATGCCTTATGTGCCTGCTTATGTGCTTCAGTGTATGAAAAGTTGCATGCTAGAACTGACTAGACAGTAGTAGGATAGCCTGTTTAGGTTATGCCTGATAGTACGAGTTTAGCATTGTATGCTAGTTCAGTTTTTATCTACGAGGATAGAGTTGCTTGAGATTGTTTCCTTTTGTCCAAATGTTGTTTGCTTTGTGCTATGTGGGCTTTGAGTGATGGGAGTTAGCTGTTAGGTGAATACGTTAAGGTCACATGTGATCAGGATCGAATAATCTCAGAGTGTTGGAAGTGACTCTATTGCGTAGCTCTTGTTTGAGTCCTAACCGTTGTAGGGATGAGTCCCTTACTCGAAGGATTATCCAAGCCTCGTCACATGTGATTGTATTCAGGTAATAGCTAATTGGCATCACCCAGAGACCTTCAGCAGCTGAGGACTGCGTTGGGTGGAGTCAGAGGGTTCCTAGGGTAAGCCTAGGATAGGAGTAGCAGAGATCAGCGGTAGTGAATGGGACCTGGTGGAGTCAAGGCAGTCCTTGGAGAAGGTATTGATAAATATGGAAGGTAGTATGGGCCCGTACTACCGAAAGCAGAGGATACGTACCCGAATCGAGGAAGGCCAAGATAAGACCAGGTAACTTGTAGTAGGTGTGATCCCTCCAGAGGTATCAGTATCGCTAACAATTGTTATTTATTTATGTATTGCAGAATGGTGGTACTACGTTCGAGGCCAGCAGTTGGCGGTACAGGAGAGGGATCGGGTTCGGGATCAGGATCCGAGCCAGTAGATGAGGGGCTACGCGAGTTCATCACGTCAGAGATCAGCATAGGCATCCTTGAGTCGACCCCCATTATTTTCGGGTCAATCAAGGAAGGGATATTGGAGTTGATGGAGGATCGCCTCCGGGCATTCAGGAGCGACATGGCATCCGGCCAGTCGGGATCTCGCACACTGTCCTTCAAGGACTTCCAGGGCAGTGGTGCGTCGGATTTTCACGGGGCGAAGGACCCCATAGCTGCCAGACGATGGATTGCAGACATTGAGTCTGCACAGATGATTAGCTTCTGCCCTGAGGGGTCAAAGGTGAGGTCTGCTATAGGGTGTTTACGAGATCGAGCTAGGGATTGGTGGTAGTCTGTGGGGGACTCGTTGGGGGCCTCGGCTGTCAAGGCTATGACTTGGTTAGACTTCACGACCAGGTTCAAGGCAGAGTTCGCGCCGGCTGTCGAGCTTCAGCAGCTGGCCAGGGAGTTATTGGACATGCGACAGATGACAGAGACCATGGCGGAGATCACCGCCAAATTCCGGGAGAGGGCATTATTGGTGCTCCAGTATGCGGGAGATGAGGATATGAGGAGGACCCGTTATCATGACATGCTACGGGCTGACATCCGAGAGCATGTTAGATTTTTAGCTTGCCCTACCTTGGAGTCCATGATTGCTAGGGAGAGAGAAAGGGAGATTGATTTAGTGCACATTTGGAACAGAAAGGAAGAGGCGGGGCAGGCGGTTGGGGCTTCGGGGAAGAAGCCCAAGGGATCAGATGGGAGGCTAAAAGGATAAGGAGGGACGGGCCGCTGCGGGAAATGCGGTAGGTCACATGAGGGAGCATGTAGGTTGGGATCATCAGGCTGCTACAAGTGCGGCAAGACGGGGCACTTTAGCAGGGATTGTACTGCTCCTGTATCGGTTGTTCAAACATCTGAGTTGCTGTCTTTCCA